TAATTATTTTAAACCCCGTGAGGTTTGGTCAAACCTTAAAACCCCCTCAAGTACCATAATGATATAAAACCTCCTCTCGTTTGTCAGACGTTAACAGAACTGGCAATTCACATCGCTGCAGAGGTTAAATACCACTTTTACCCTTAACCATAAATATCTACTTATAACAAAGAAAGTGATAAACTATTTTAAACCCCCCAAGGTTTGCCAAAACTTTAAAACCCTTCATTTGTGTGTTATGATCGTTTTACTTTTCATCTAATAACTTTAACGAGATTTAATAACGTCTGATAGATGATAGGGGTTTCACATCATTACTGGTATTTGAGGGATTTTTTTAGGTTTGACTAAACCTCAGAGGGTTTATGTAATTATCCTAGAGAAGTTGATAGGGCCAATAAAGTAAAAATGGTGGCAAAAATTGAACACAAAGTGAAGTGAATATTTTAGCTATAGAGAGTGCATGAACAGCTTTGATTAATTTCATAATATTGTATTAATCAATTAATCGATTAATTATCTCACATGTTGTCATGTTGGTTCTTCATGCATGAGGCCCGATGAGCTTGAATTATATATGTATGAACTTATAAATTTGTCAGTGTCGGTGAGTCAAAATAGAATTGCTTAAATTTTAAGAAATAGTCAACTCAGTTACATCTACAAGATTAACAACTTGCAATATTATACTGTTGAAGAACGATAATAGAGGCTTGGGTGATGTTAATTAAGATTACTTTGCCAGCATGAATTTGGAGGATTAATTAAAAAAATTAGCAGAGATTGCATGCTTTTAGTTCCGTATTAATTATTTTGTCTTGTCACAACAAGCATTACATTTCAAAGATTTGTATGTTTGAGTAAATTAAGTAATGAGCAATGTTATCCTTATAACTGTATTGTATAACTAAATCATACAAACAGATAAAAAATAAATGATAAAATAGTTATTTTACATAAAATTTGTACAATTTTTATCTGTTTGTATAACTCAATTGTAAATAAAACATTGTTGTTAATTAAAATATAATTTTTATAAGCAATTGTTTAATTTAATCACCTTACTACTGGATAAGTACAAATTATACTAAGTAAGACAAATTAACCTTTTCAATACTTGGTAGTTGGTAGTCTTAAAAAGAAGTAGCTTGATTAAATATTTAAATGTCATTAATTAATTTAACTTGTAAGATATTTACAAATAATTAATAACAATAAGATTAAGAAAGGAGGCGTGCCGGTTGGTTCCATCAAGGGTGAATCAACATGCTTTGCCATATATCGTCTTCAATAGAAAATTAATGAGTCTAATTAATTTTTAATTTATAAAAATTAATAAACATTATGATCAAAACTTCCATTACGTGGCTTAATTTCTTCTGTATTATTGATTAATTAATAAAGTTGATATCTCATAGAGTTGACCTTTACATAAAAAATTAATAAAGTTGATATCTCTTTCAATTGAAATATTCTTCCAGCCACCATGCGCCTCCATTGCTCACAAATCTATATATCTACTGGCTCAAAAGTCATATATAATTAATTAATTAGGTGATAACTGTTCCTCAGTTAATGCTAATGAACATATGTTTGAGTACATGATTAAGGAAGCTAAATTCAATGTCCCTCACCAAAATTGATGTTGGATTTGAACATATTCAGCCATACATGAAGTCAAAACAAGATAATCAGTTGGCCACTTTCTGCATTTATTTATTAATTTCATGCCTCAATTATCTAGGTCAAACTTCAGATAAAATGCAAGACTTGGGAAATTAATTAAATTCATACTTGAGTATGAAGCTTAAATATATAATATCTCCCTAAATAAGAATTGTCCAAGATTTAACTTCATACAATTAGGCTGAAGCAGCGTATCCGCAATTGACTCTTTGATAATATTATTGTCACCAAATACAATAATAAATATAAATTGGATGCTTATATAATTTTGTCTACCATTTAAGGTGGCTACCAAACTTAGTTATTATCTTTATATATTCTTCAATTCAGAAATAATTCAAACTATTAATTATTGAATGTCATATTCATACAATCAAATGTTAATTATATTGAACTTTATTATAAGGTAACGAGTTTTATGATAGATTATCAAACTTTTTACAGGAGTTTTTATAATCAAGTGTGTTTGCCGTTGAGCTAAAAGTTATATTGTTATTGTCGATAATCACAGTTTGTTATTTTCATATATAGATTTTAGGGTTGGGACCCATTGTTGTATTGACAGATATATCATCGGGCTTGATCCTGATTCCCGTTGATAATCAAGACGATATGCGGATTTACGCCAATTTATATCATATTATATACAATATAGTTATTTTCTTTTGAATGTTTTGATAATTTTAAAATCTGAATTTACATTTTCAATGACAAAAATTGCAATAAGAATTTTTTTTTTCTAGAAAATTGATACAAGAAATTGATAAAAATTTAGATATAGGTGTAGGTTTAGTCAAGTTAAGTGTTTCTTGTGTGATCCTAATTAATTTGGCTTTTTTTTTTTTTAACTACCAATAACAGCTTTTATTAGGTTAGCTAAGACCTTTTATTAAAAAATAATGCATGCCCCAATTTTCTTGGGAGGTTTTCCTATTCTCTTTTTCTATACATTTTTCTATGTTATAATGTATAATTATAAGCTTTGAGAGAAGAAAAAAATATCTTTTCATTTTTTTTTTTTTTCATATTGCACGCATTCACTTCCAAACTATTTGGTTAAAAACCATTAAATTATTACAACCAAAACTCGAAAATGTTTATTTTTTTGAAAACAAAATATTTGGTTTGGTTTTAGTTTCAATAATTCAATAAAGTTTTTAGGACGTACATATTTCCCGATACCAAAATAGTAATTTATTATCGATCCTTGATTAAGAACCATTAGAAATTAGATGAACTTCTATTGTAGTATGATACTCATTTAAATAATATATAAAAGCATATAATAATATTATTGAACTGGTGTGGTAACTAAATTAACCCTAGTCTATGAATAAAATTTCTAAACCCACGTAATTATGTGAGGGATTAAGACTTGTGATCATGACGACAATGGTGAAAGCACAATGACCTAATTTTTTTTAAACCATGGAAAATGAAGTCAAATTTGTACCAAGTTTTAGTTCTGTCTCCTTTTTTTTTTTTTTTAATTATTGATTTAATTTTATTTCTATTATTGTATTTGATGACTTCATGTTTTAGTGTAAGTATACAAACCTGATTGGGATTCATAATGGAAAAAAATTCAACTCAGACATCATCATTTAATTTAAATTTTTTAATATCTAATAATAAGCAATTTTAATTTTTAAGGCTTGTGCGTGCACGTTCACGCAAGCAGATAAGAATGAATTATTGTAAATTTATAAAGAAACAAGAAACCCAAATAACACCTTAAAAAGTGGGTGATGAATAATATAATTATTTGTATTTAATTTATAAGATATTAGTGGATTTTTTTTTTTTAATAATCCATAAATTCTCCAACATCGCGGAACCTAATATTTGAGAAATGGGAAAAAATGACTTTTGATTTTATAAATGTTAGCTTCAGATTTTGTGAAAACGAATAAAATGGATATTTGTATTTTAAATACAAATATATTTGAATTATGGATCTTATTATGAGATATTAATTCATATTATCTTGGATATTAAATAAGTTTATTTTAATTAGATATTTTCTTTGAGGAATTTGTCTTTAATTAAAATAGAAAAATAATTTTTTTACATATCTGAGGGGAAAAAGGATTCTAATTAGTCTCCAATACAAATATATCTTATTGAGATATATTTGAGTGTGAATAAAAGATTTAATAGAAAAGGAATTCCTTGTGAGAAAAGAAGACCGGTTGGTTGAAGCTTCTTTTTGCGTGATTTTAAGGCTTCTCTAGGCGTGATTCAATCTACAAGAGGTAATTAATTTAGCTAAATTTAATTTTTATCTAACATCATGAGTTTGGATTCTATTTTTTTGTTAATTTTTAAAGAAGAAAATTATCCGCTGCGTATTTTATTACCTTATTTCTAACACACATCACCTTCGTCTACTTCTTTACTTAAATTTTATTAAAAAAATATATATAATTAAAGAATGGTTAAAAGAAAACGAGCATCAAGAGAGAGTAAGTAGACACGTAAAACAAGTCGTATATTACAACTAAAATTCAACTTATATATTATGTTGTAAATTTGGTCGTATGATGTAATGCAATAAATTGTACACTATAAATGTGATATATTGATTAGCATATTTCAATCATTGAAACATAAGTTCATTGTTATTGATTATTTATGCCAAAAATAAATTAAGAGACACACCCCAAGATATTTTCCTATCTATTATATCGACTTAAAGTTACAATAAAATTTAGTAATCATCATTAATTAATAGTAATACTCTCCCAAACATTTCCATAAAGAAGGTGAAGATAGATTAAGGGAGTTTTAAATTCTTTGCTATCATAAATAATGCATGCTTAGATATTTTATATTCATTTTTAGTCAATTATTTTTCAGAATTTGATTTGTGTTGGGTACAGATTCTAAGAAACAAACAAAAATAAGTTTTGCCTACATAGGCAAGACTAAAGAAGTAGCATGCAGCTTCTTGACAGGACGCCATGAGATGAGGAAGGTTAAATCCTCAAGAAATCATTGATTATTATCATGGCCACCATCATCATCATCATCATTAATCAACACAACTAATTTACATAAACATTACACTTACAGGCCAGGTCCCACTCGGTGAGAGATTAAACGACCTGGTCAGAAAAATTTGCCTAACTCATTCTGTATATAAACACCATTGCTGTGAACCTAAATGCTACCTCCACATCTCTCACCTTTGCTTTTGCCTTTGCCTTTTTGTGATTTAGAAACTCTCCTTCATTCAATGTCATCCACTCTTTCTATTTCGTTCCATTGAAATATTCACTTTACTCGTCGTTGTTATTTGTTGTTCAGGTGCCTTCAGTTTTAAGAAATGGGTGACAAGTCAGCTATCACTCTTGACGGGATCAAGAACGAGACTGTTGATTTGGTATGAACTTTCATCTTTTTGATTCAACTCTGTGTTTTTATTTTCTTGTCTTAGTCACATAGTCGAGTAAAAATGTTACCTTTGTTTCAAAGAGACGATACCCACTAAACGTTTGCTTCTTTCCCTTTCTATATTCACTTTTTCAATGTTTCTTCAACTTTTTCTCACCATCCAAACATACCCATCTCAGTTTTGACTCCCACATTAAATCTTACCAGGTGAACTGTTTATAGGCACGAGTCACAAGTCAACTGTTTCACGAGTTATTTAATTTATGTCCGTATTTTTAAAAAATTTAGAACAAATTATTAACTTATAAAAATATATATATTTTTTAGTGTTAACTAACGATACTAATCTATATTCTGGATTAGGAATATTCATCATATTAGTATCGCACAATAAGGAACAGACATTTATCATCTGAATAGAAATATTTTTTATTCTCTTGTGGGTATACAAAAATCTTGAAATGAAATTATAGAAATTACTTAATTCTTTTATTCGGCTACCAACATAAAATTATGATAAGTAACGTGTTGAAGATAAGAGTAAATGAATTTGACAGTTTAAAGGAGAAAGAATTATCATAAAAATTGTAGTATCACAAAAATGACATAAATAAATGTGGGTTTCCTGATAATTAATTGGTTTGCAGGAGAAAATTCCGATCGACGAAGTGTTTGAACAGTTGAAATGTACCCGGGAAGGTTTATCCTCCGAGGAGGGGAACAACAGAATTCAAATATTTGGCCCCAACAAACTAGAAGAAAAAAAGGAAAGCAAAATTCTCAAGTTTTTGGGGTTCATGTGGAATCCGCTCTCATGGGTTATGGAAGCCGCTGCTATAATGGCCATTGCGTTGGCTAATGGCAGCGGCCAGCCCCCGGATTGGCAAGACTTTGTTGGTATTGTTTGCTTGCTGGTCATCAACTCCACCATCAGTTTCATAGAAGAAAACAATGCTGGTAATGCTGCTGCCGCTCTCATGGCTGGTCTCGCCCCTAAAACTAAGGTTCGAAAGTTAACTATTTTGCTGCAATAACTATTTTTTATGTGCATAGAGTTTGTTACTGATTTTATTTTTTATTTTTTATTTTTTTAAAATGGTGTTCAGGTTCTTAGAGATGGAAAATGGAGTGAACAAGAGGCTGCGGTTCTGGTTCCAGGAGATATTATCAGCATTAAATTGGGAGATATCATCCCTGCTGATGCGCGTCTTCTTGAGGGTGATCCGTTGAAGGTGGATCAATCTGCACTCACTGGAGAATCACTTCCTGTGACCAAGAATCCTGGGGATGAAATTTTCTCTGGTTCAACCTGCAAACAAGGTGAAATCGAGGCTGTGGTTATTGCAACCGGTGTTCACACCTTTTTCGGAAAGGCTGCACATCTTGTGGACAGTACCAACCAAGTTGGTCACTTTCAGAAGGTGCTTACTGCCATTGGAAACTTCTGTATTTGTTCGATTGCGATTGGGATGGTGGTTGAGATCATCGTCATGTATCCAATTCAACACCGCAAGTATAGAAATGGAATTGACAATCTATTGGTACTCTTGATTGGGGGCATTCCAATTGCTATGCCTACAGTTTTGTCTGTGACAATGGCTATTGGTTCTCACAAGCTGGCTCAGCAAGGCGCCATCACCAAGCGTATGACTGCCATCGAAGAAATGGCCGGTATGGATGTGCTATGTAGTGACAAGACAGGGACACTGACTCTCAACAAGCTCAGTGTTGACAGAAACTTGGTTGAGGTGTTCGCAAAGGGCGTGGAAAAAGATCATGTGCTCCTGCTTGCAGCCAGGGCTTCTAGAATTGAAAATCAAGATGCCATTGATTGTGCCATTGTTGGAATGCTTGCTGATCCGAAGGAGGCTCGGGCCAATGTTAGAGAGGTGCATTTCTTTCCATTCAATCCTGTGGACAAGAGGACTGCTCTGACATATATTGACTCTGATGGCAACTGGCATAGAGCAAGCAAAGGTGCCCCTGAGCAGATCTTGAACCTTTGCAATGCCAGAGAAGATGTTAGAAAGAAAGCGCATGCTATTATTGATAAGTTTGCTGAACGTGGGCTTCGGTCATTAGCTGTAGCAAGACAGGTGTCAATTTAGCAACATATGTCAGTCATTACTTCATTAATTTGCGCCTTTGAAAATGGGAACTGCTCAACACCTTGTCTTCTTGGTTGCAGGAAGTGCCAGAGAAAAGGAAAGAAAGTCCTGGAGCACCATGGCAATTCGTCGGTTTGCTGCCACTCTTTGATCCTCCAAGGCATGATAGTGGTGAAACCATCCGCCAGGCTCTTAATCTCGGCGTGAATGTCAAGATGATTACTGGTAAGACGTTATTCTTTTATACATCCTGCGAAATCTGTTATTAACTTCTTTCTATCGATGTTCACTCGATTTGTTGACGATGTTCAGGTGATCAACTTGCAATTGCTAAGGAGACTGGCCGAAGACTTGGGATGGGAACAAACATGTACCCTTCGGCTTCTTTACTTGGCCAAGAAAAGGATTCAAACATAGCCGCCCTTCCTGTTGAAGAGTTGATTGAGACTGCTGATGGGTTCGCTGGCGTGTTTCCAGAGCACAAATATGAAATTGTGAGGAAGTTGCAGGAGATGAAGCACATTTGTGGAATGACTGGAGATGGTGTCAATGACGCTCCTGCGCTGAAGAAGGCCGATATTGGTATTGCTGTTGCTGATGCTACTGATGCTGCAAGAGGGGCTTCTGATATCGTACTCACAGAGCCCGGATTGAGTGTTATTGTCCATGCTGTGCTGACTAGCAGAGCGATTTTCCAGAGGATGAAGAATTACACAGTCAGATTCTCTCTTCTTTTCTTCTAAATTATGTTCATGAGTCTTCGCTTATTTGGTTTCCTTCTTTTGTTATTTTTGCAGATCTATGCAGTCTCAATCACAATTCGTATTGTGGTAAGTACATGGTGGTGGTTTAGTTATACAGACTTCGTCAAATAAAAAAACAAGGCATATTGATTTTTCAATTTTTTCTCTTATTCTGCAGTTTGGTTTCCTGTTTATTGCTTTGATATGGAAGTTTGACTTTTCTCCGTTCATGGTTTTGATTATTGCCATTCTAAATGATGGTAAGTCTTAAATATCTTTACATTCTTTCTGTTATTTTATGCTCTTCCAAAGCATGATCTTTCGAGTTTCGAGACCCTGATTTTTACATCCTTTAGGCACAATTATGACAATCTCAAAGGATAGGGTGAAGCCATCTCCTATGCCAGATAGCTGGAGACTCAAGGAGATTTTTGCTACCGGAATTTGTTTCGGAAGTTATTTGGCATTGATGACTGTTATATTCTTCTGGGCTATGCATGATACTCATTTCTTCCCGGTAAGAGAGACGATGTTTCGATTTGATATCACATTCTTTCAATGAAATATTCAAAACTGACTTTTCAATTTGATTCAACTGGCAACTTCTTTCCTCACAAATGCAGGACACATTTGGGGTGAGAGATATAAGTGGTGACGATAATCAAATGATGGCTGCATTGTATCTACAAGTGAGTATTGTGAGCCAGGCTTTAATTTTTGTGACTCGCTCGCGCAGCTGGTCCTATGCTGAACGCCCTGGACTTCTACTGATGTGTGCTTTTGTGATTGCGCAATTGGTAAGAATTTCTACCTTATATATACTTTTTTTAGAACACATCTTCCGGTTCCCCAAATGCCTAATCACTTTGATCTGTTTTCAGGTAGCAACTCTGATAGCTGTATATGCGGATTGGGGTTTTGCTAGAATTAAAGGTTTTGGTTGGGGATGGGCTGGCGTCGTCTGGATTTATAGTGTTATCTTCTATATACCACTTGACTTTATGAAGTTTGCCATCCGTTACCTCTTGGCCGGGAAGGCCTGGAGCAACTTGCTCGAGAACAAGGTATTTTTTTCGGATTTTTGTCTTGGACATTGGTAATTTTCAAAACCAGAAATGTTTCTATAGTTTAATGACCATTGTTACTTGTTTTCCAAGTAACAGACTGCCTTCACTACCAAGAAAGATTATGGAAAGGGAGAAAGGGAAGCTCAATGGGCTATTGCTCAAAGAACCCTCCATGGACTTCACCCACCAGAACCCACTAATCTCTTCCCTGAAAAGGGTAACTACAGAGAGCTGTCTGAGATTGCAGAGCAGGCTAAAAGACGCGCTGAAGTTGCAAGGTACAACACCAATGAAATTAATGTTCCTATGAACCAATCCTTTCTAGATAAGTTTATTCTTTTCAAAGCAAATCATGAGAGAATCAACAACGTTTTCGCTTTGTGTTTGTAGGCTTCGGGAGCTGCACACGCTCAAGGGTCACGTGGAGTCAGTTGTGAAGCTGAAGGGGCTGGACATCGAAACGATTCAGCAGCATTACACGGTGTGAGAAGAAAGCTTTCTTGAGAGTTATAAAAGGGATTTGTTCAAAGACAAACCCTGTTTAAGAGAAAGTCTATGTAAGTAGTAATTAAAAAGTATGAAGATAAGGAGAGCTTTTTATGTGTTATAATTCTCCTGGTCTATTTGCTTTTCCTTTCTATGTATTTCAATGTCATAAGAAAGGACTATTTGCTGCGATAAAAGAGGCAATGTAATGCCCACGTGTTATATATATAAGTTCTCTAGCATCAATATAATTTTCCTTTTCTTTATTCTTTTCTCCTGTTTTACTGTTCATTTTGGTTTCATAGACTCTTGAAATTTGATAACTTAAAACTCTCATGAGGGTAAGGAATTAATAGCCATTGTAAATTGGAGCATGATTCCATTTGGATTTAAGAAAAACGTGGTTTGAATATAACCATTTGAAAATTGGTGGATGGAGTTATGCCAGCAACCACGTGGAACAGGCCCTCGTAGCGGACAGGACGATTTGGGGAGGGTTGCTACCTATGAGCAAGCGAAGTAACCTAGCTAGGAAAATGGGTCGCCATGTGCATCGGCTTCGAAACCGTAGTGAAAGGTTAGGATCCTACATCTATTAATTATGAGATTGATTGATGATTATTAACCTTTAGGCTCCTTCCCAAGCTAATTTTAAATATAGATTCTACCCAGTGGGTTTTTAACGAAATCTATCTTGAGAGAATTGTTATGACACTTAACTAAGCATTGCAGATTAGCATAAGCAATAAGTGTTCTGCTAACATACACTATGACAATAAAGAATGCATGATTTGTAAGAAAACTTATCTGCAATCTAAACAGAAATACAAAAAATATAATATTCTTAAATTATAAACTAAGAATCAATAATTACCTCCAACCATTGAAACAAACTCACGCAGCTGTATTTTGGCTCTTCTAAGCTCTCAAGACACTCTAATATTATGGTGTATTTTTCAGTATATAATTGAGTTCTTGAGCTTAGAGACCAAAATAATAGACATAGCTAAGCTTCCATCAAGCTTTTAATGGCATTGCTTAATGGTTGCCATAAATTCCAAATGTTTGAAAACTGAAGCATTTGAAAACTGAATAACAAATGTAGACCATCAACTTTAAAACTGATGAAAATCAAAACGTTATTTACGTTACATGAGTAACGTAAGTTTTACATTCTCCCACTTGGTCTACATTTTTAACCATTATTTCATTAAGAAACAAGTACACGAATCATGACGGCAAATCCTCAAAATAAAACGAGTATTATCTTCCATGTATTACAATGCATTTGATTTCTCAAGTTTACTTTATATATGACAACCTTACTTAATGAATAAACCCTATGTTTATTCTTAGTCCTATAGATGAATTTTCTCAAAAGAAATTAAGGTGCACATGAATATGAGAAAACATCACAATAAATAAGAGTTTTATTCAAACATTATATACACAATTACATAGTGGAATGAAGTCTCATTTCTTCTACATGATCCTTGAATTTCAATGGTGGCATGCCTTTGGTCAAAGGATCAACAATCATCAATTCAGTACTTATGTGCTCAATGACCACTTTTTTTTCCTTAATATGCTCTCTTATGGCTAAGTACTTAATGTCAATGTGTTTACTTCAACTTTGACTTTTATTGTTCTTAGTCATAAAGACAGCAGCTGAATTATCGCATTATATTCTCAATGGTTTAGAAATGGAATCCATAATTTTAAGCCTAGATATGAAACTCTTTAACCATACACCATGTGAAGTAGCCTAAAAACAAGAAACGAACTCAGCTTCTATAGTGGAAGTAGCAGTCAAGGACTGCTTTACACTTCTCCAAGATACAGCTTCACCAGCCATTATGAAAACATATCCTGATGTTGATTTACGTGAATCAACACAACCAGCAAAGTCTGAATCTGAATAACTGATTACTTCCAGATTGTCTGTCTGTCTATACATAAGCATATAGTTTTTGGTTCCTTAAAAGTACCTCATCACTTTCTTTGCAGCTCTCCAGTGGTCTAAACCTGGATTACTTTGATATCGTCCCAACATTCCAACAACAAATGTAATGTCAGGCCCTGTACAGACCTGAGCATACATCAGGCTTCCGACAGCAGAAGCATATGGAATGTTCTTCATTTGTTCCCTTTCAAAATCGTTCTTTGGGCATTGGTTCAAATTGAACTTATCACCCTTCACAACGGGAGCCACACTTGTTGAACAATCTTTCATACGAAATCTCTCTAAACTTGTTGATAGAGGTTTTTGAGACAAACCCAAAATACCTCGATCTATCTCTGTGGATCTTAATGCACTGACATAAGATGCGTCACCCATATCCTTCATATCAAAATTCTTAGAGAGGAATTGTTTCACCTCATGCAGCAAACCCTTATCATTGGTTGCAAGCAAATATCACTACATATAAAATAAAAGAAAGCATTACTTACTCCACTAACCTTTTGGTATATACATTGATCATGGGGTTTTCAACAAAACCGAATGAAGCAATTACCCCATGGAATTTAAAATACCATTGGCGGGATGCTTGTTTGACCGTATATAGATTTCTTGAGCTTACAAACCAAGTGCTCACCAACACTAGAGGAAAAACCTTCAAGTTGTTTCATATAACCTCCTCCTCTAAGTCTCCATTGAGAAACGCCGTTTCACATTCATTTGTTGCAACTCTAAGTCAAAATGGGGCTAATGCCAAAATCACAAGCAAGGAATCTTAAATACAGGAGAGGAAGTCTCCGTGTAATTGATTCCTTCTTTTTGGTGAATCCCTTAGCAACGAGTCTGCCTTGTATCTCTCAATGTTGCCCAATAAGTCCTTCTTTGTCTTAAGACCCATTACATCCAATGACTTTTACACATTAGGCAACTCAACAAGATCCCAGACTTCGTTACTCTTCATAGAATTCATCTTTTCCTTCATGAAATTGTACCATAATTCTGATTCTTTGCAACTCATGGCTTGTGAAAGAACTCGGGTCATTTTCGGCCCAATGTTATAGTCAGATTTACAGATACACAACATAATCATTAGGAATTGCTGATGCTTGGTCAGCAGATCTTCTTATGTTGTACATCATATTCCGGAGAAGTATATGGTCAACTCGTTGTTCAAAAGTTCTTGGCAACTCTTGAACTACCTGATCTACTGGAATATTGTCAAAAGCTGTGGAACTTCATGATTGGTTGTCAACACCAGTTCATACTTGAGGGGTGTTGTAAACAATAACCAATTTATCACTTAAGGTGGAAGGTTGAGATTCTAAATGATCATTCTTGAAACTATATTCCTGGTTTGACGCTCCCACTGATCAAGTCATTTTCAAGAACCTTTGCATTTCTGATTCCACAATCCTAGTGCTGTGAGATGGACAATAAAATCTGTAACCTTAGACCTTTCAGCATATCTAATGAAATACCCAGTAATGGTCCTTGGGTCCAGCTTCTTCTCTTGTGGATATAAAATTCTCACCTCAGACGGGCATCCCCAAAAGCGCATATGTCGCAAAATCGGTTTCCAACATTTCCATAATTCAAATGGCGTTTTAGGAACAGCCTTGGTTGGAACTTGGTTCAATATCTACACTGCCGTCTTAAGTGCTTCAACCCACAAGGATTTAGGAAGATTGGGGCTGCTAAGCATACTCCCCACCATGTCCAACAATGTTCGATTTCTTACCATTCTGGTTCGGTGAACCAGGCATGGTGTATTGGGCAACAATCCCATGATCTTGAAGAAACTTTGCAAATGGTACAGGTGTTTGTCCATCCTCTGTGTATACTATAATATTCTTCACCTCTATCTAATCTTACGATCTTAATTTGCTTACCACATTATTTCTCTACTTCAGCCTTAAAGATTTTAAAGGCATCTAATGTTTCTGTTGTTATGAAGCATGTAGAGATACATATATCGTGAGTAATCATCTATAAAAGAGATTAAGTATTTTGACCATGTGAGTCCATGTCTAGACTACATATATCAGATGTCTGATCTCTAATATGTCGAACTCCTATTGGCCCCTTTCTTTGACTTGTTGGTCTGCTTTCCCTTTATGCAGTCTACACAAGTCTCAAAATCAGTAAACTAGAGTATTAAGTACTCCTCATTTACTAATCTTTTAATTCTATCTATGGAGATAGTCTAATCTCCGGTGCCCTAATTTAGAGGAGTCCTCATTAATAACACATCTTTTAGCGCCAGTGTGAAAATGCATTGAATCATAAGTGGCATTGTTTTGTAAATTAGTGCATAAAGCCATCAAACAAAGTACATTCCTAACAATTAGTTTTATAAAATAAGTTGAAGATGAATCTGAAAAATTAAAGGAATATCCAAAGGGTACAAGCCTTGAAATGAATTAAGTTTCTAGAAAAACTTGGAAAATAAAAGGTATTCTAACAATTAAACAAAGCCACTACTAAAATTAAATAGCAAGTTCCTACAGCTTCCACATGCGAGCCCATTTGTTTCCTGATAAGTGCTTCGCTCACTTCCCACTAGCTTCCTGGTTTTGCAAACCTACAAGGAATTTGAAATGTGGATTGTTGATCCAGAATCAATCCACCATGTGTTAAATTGACATTAACCATATTAGATTCATAACAACAAATGAGGTTGGATTACCTTTGTCCGCAACATTTATGAATTTGGGCATTCCTTCTTCATGTGTCCCTCTTTTTACAAAAGAAACACTTGGAATCTTTCTTGATACCACCTTGGGGAGGCATTCTGCCTTTCCCTTTCTTATTGGCTTGATATTTTCCTTCCATGCGTTGCGAGCATTGCACTTCTTCCTGTTCCACCACCAATCTCCTTCCTCTTGAACACACATGGTCATAAGTTCATTAATTGACATTTATCCTATGTGTGTTGTATGAGTTTTGAAAGGGCCATATTGATGCGGAAGGGTGTTCAAGATGTAGTGACCAGGAGGAATCCGACATTTCAAACTCGAGATTCTCAATTGAGCCACAATATCCCTCATTTGTATGATGTGCTCGCGTACACCTCTCACATCGATGAGCCTTAGGGATGGAGCTCATGATCAGGGTGCTTGCTAGTGCTGTCTAAAGTGACAAATGATCATCAATGGCTTTAGCAAGTCTTTGACCTTTTCATGCTGATCAACAAAACCACGGATACTAGTAGAGATTCTAGTCTTAATGAACATCACGCTGAGACGATTAGATCGCTCCATCGTTCATAAAGCGTGATGTCTAATGCAGTAC